TTTTCTTTCTTTTTTTTCTTTCTTTTAAATTGAGACAGGGTCTTTTTCTGTCGCTCACACTGGAGTCAGTGCAGTGGCATGATCTGGGGTCACTGCAACCTCTTTCTCCTTGGTTCAAGCAATTCTCATGCCTCAGTCTCCTGAGTAGCTGGAAATACAGGCGTGCACCACCATGCCCTGCTAAATTTTATATTTTTGTTAAAGACAGCGTTTCACTATGTTGGCCAGGCTGGTCTCGACCTCCTGGGCTCAAGCAATCCACCCACCTCAGCCTCCCAGAGTCCTGGGACTACCAGCATATGCCCCCATGCCCAGGCACACATACACATTTTTTTCGAGATGAGTTCTTGCCATGTTTTCCAGGCTGGTCTTACTTAAACTTCTGTGCTGAAGCCTTCCTCTCACCTCAGCCACCCCAGTATGTGCGAGTCATCATGCCAGGCCCCATTTCGGTTTTTTTGTTTTGTTTTGTTTTGTTTTTTGAGACAGAGTTTCGCTCTTGTTACCCAGGCTGGAGTGCAATGGCGCAATCTCGGCTCACCGCAACCTCCGCCTCCTGGGTTCAAGCAATTCTCCTGCCTCAGCCTCCCAAGTAGCTGGGACTACAGGCGTGCACCACCACGCCCAGCTAATTTTTTTGTATTTTTAGTAGAGACGGGGTTTCATCATGTTGACCAGTATGGTCTCGATCTCTTGACCTCGTGATCCACCCGCCTCGGCCTCCCAAAGTGCTGGGATTACAGGCATGAGCCACCGCGCCCGGCCCCCATTTCGTTTTTATGTTTCTATTTAGGCAGTCTGAGTTGAGAGAGATAATTCCAGAAGAGGAATCTATGTATTTGTATTGCTAGATTAATTATAGTTAACACCCCACTGTGACTGTGAGACGTGAAGTGACAGTGAAATGTGAAGGAGGTGGAAGCTTCCAGAAATGAAGCCAGAAGCTGCCTTCATGTCTTCAGGAGGAGGCCAAAGAAAACTACCTAAGGAAGTACACCAGTAATTCTCCCCCCATAAAAGATCCCTTTTACTCTTATTTATTAATTTATTTTTATTTAAAAAATCTTTTTTTAGAGACAAGGTCCTACTATATGTTGCCCAGGCTGGTCTCAAACTTCTGGGATCAAGTAATCCTCCTGCCTTATCCTTCCAAAGTGCTGGGATTACAGGTGTAAGCCACCATACCTGACCACCTTCTACTATTTTTTCTTTTCTTTTGTTTTCTTTTTTTTTTTGAGATGGAGTCTTGCTTGTCTCCCAGGCGCTGGAGTGCAGTGGCGCAATCGCGGCTCACTGCAACCTCTGCCTCTCAGGTTCAAGCAATTCTCATGTCTCAGTGTTCGGAGTAGCTGAGATTACAGGCATGTACCACCACGCCCTGCTAATTTTTGTATTTTTAGTAGAGATAGGGTTTCACCTTGCTGGTCAGTCTGGCTTAAGCTCTGACCTCAGGTGATCCACCTACCTTGGCCTCCCAAAGTGCTGTGGTCACAGGCGTGAGCCACCCCACTCGTCCTCCCTTTGACTTTCTTTTTTTTTTTTTAACTACCTTTTACTCTTAAATGAAAATTAGGTAATTATATTTTGCCACTAATATATATTTAAAACTTTCTGCTAAACACTAATTATTAAATAGCCTAACAGAATTAAAAGGTACCTAGGGAACATTTATCTCTTTAATAAAATACTCATAATTAATATGTTGTTTCTGATATCTCTTTGTTGGTGTGGTTTATGTAACGTTTTTAGTTGGTACAAATATCAGGAATAAAAATCCCAAATATTAAGAGAATGGTTCAGATTGCTAGTATGGGTCACTGAGAAAATAAAGATTATTAGGTAAAAAATAATTTAATGTAAAAAATCTCTTTAAAAGTTTAAATTCAGGCTGGGAGCCGTGGCTCATGCCTGTAATCCCAGCACATTGGGAGGTTGAGGCAGGAGAATTGCTTGAACCTGGGAGATGGAGGTCAGACTCTGTCTCAAAACAAATAAATAAATAAAATAAGATTTAATGAAGCTTAAAATTATCCTTTTGAAGACACATAGGTGTTGTATTTCTATTTAAAGGTAAGAATATATAAAGTTGCTTTCAGCACTGAAAAACACTGATAAGCTTCCATGACTTATTATTATAAAAAATATTAAGCATGTGTTCATTGTTTCTCTGGATAGTATTTCTTTGATGTATTTGTTTCTCCCTTGCCGGCCAAATATAGATCTCTCTAGCTAACTTTACTGGATCTATCAGAAGAAGAAGAGGAGTGAAGGAAAGATACCCAGCCACACAAAAGCACTTCATGATGGCAGCAGCGTGATTGCCTGGAAGTTCCTATATAAACAAGGAGCATTTGAAGGCATCTGGGATGGTTTACTAGTTTCACAGAATTTTATTCTTCTTCGTTTCTCTTGAGAGGGAAAATAACATAAATTCAAAAGGATTCCAATCTGAAGCCCAAATTATTGGCCTACATAACAAAAATATCTCATCTTTTCCTGCACATTATTATTCTCTTATGGGTTAAAAAGAAAAACACCTTTTAGTGTCCTTAGAACTCTTTCATGATAATAAGTGCAAGAACTTAAGATGTTCCTTTCATACTCCCAAAGTATTAACGTTGTGTACTTTTCAGTGATTTTCTAAAAACTGCTTAATCTGAAATTAATTTCATTGACCATTTGATTTTGCACAATAAGGAGATAATAACTGGTTCATTTATTGTGTATAGAGAAATAATAAGAAAAGCTATTAATTGCTACCAATTTTATGATAGGCTTTAATATTTATGAAAGCATGATTATTTGATTTAATAAGTAATGCTGTTCATTTGAAGTTAAAAGAAAGCATAAAATCCTAATTATAGTTCATTTTATGTTAAAATTGAACCATTTTTTGTTTTTATTTTAGACAGAGTTTCACTCTGTTGTCCAGACTGGAGCGAAGTGACATGCTCTTGACTCACTGTAACCTCCATCTCCTGGGTTAATAGATCCTCATGTATCAACCTACCAAATACAGGCTGGGATTGCAAGTGTGCACCACCACACCTGATTAATTTTTGTATTTTTTGTAGAGATGGGGTTTCACCCTTTTGCCCAGGCTGGTCTTGAACTCATACTGTAACCATACATATTTGAACCTTTCTCAGCATATAATTATAAAAATCCAATGTTTGATTTTATTTGAAATTTTGTTGTGTGCTTTATTATTTTGTATAGATAATTCCTTAAAAAGGCTTACTTAAAGTTGACATCTAAAATACAGTTATGCCAATGAAGTCCAATTCAGGGTGATATCTGTATCTAAAAGATGAGAGCTCATCATCCTAGTAGGCTTTGTCTTGGTGCTGTTCATTCTCAGATGCTGAGACATGGAAATACAAAATCAGAAGGAATTTAGGGATTTAGTTACTCAAAAAGGAAACTATTCTGTCTAAATTTGAATTTTGTTGATCACTAGGTGTTCCCAGATGTAAAGCAAGCTCTTAATTTGTATTTATTAAAGAATTTTTTTGTTTTTTTTTTTTTAGACAAGATCTGGCTCTATCACCCGGGCTAAAGTGTAGCGGCACATTCTAGGCTCAGTGCAACCTCCACCTCCCTGGCTCAACTGATCCTTCCACCTCAGCCTCCCGAGTACCTGGGACTACAGGCACTCACAACCACACCTGGCTAATTTTTGTATTTTTTGTAGAGATGGGGTTTTGCTATGTTGACCAATCTGGTCTCGAACTCAGGCTGGTGAGCTCAAGTGATCTGCTTCCTTGGCATCCCAAAATGTTGGGATTACAGACATGTGCCACTATGCTGACCCACAAGTTCATTTCTTGAGTAGAAGTTTTACTTTGTAAACATTATAGAGTAGAAGAAACCATAAACCATTAACCCTCATTTTCCTAAAATGAAAGGTTGGTGTTAATATATATGCAATTTTATGTAGAAAAATCTGATGACACTGTGGAGTTTGTCTCCTTTTCAAAGCTTATTAAAAGCATCTTTGTGGATGAATGGTACTTTCCACAAGTGCATTTGACTAGAAACATAGACTATTCTTAGTTATATTTATGTTTAAATCATGTACTTGCTTGTATATTTTGTACTAAAAAAGATAGTCAAGATACATCTTGTTCAATAGAAGTCTAAACTCTTTCAAGTGCAAATTCGCACATTCAAGTAAAAGTTACAAATAAGTTTTACCATTGTAAAGTAATAAAATGGTTACACATTTCTTAATTGTGCAATAAAGCACTCAGTGATTTGAATGTCTACTTGTCCTTACTTTGTATAAGAAATGTTCGGTGTTGAGTATAGCATGGTAGAAACGTTCCTGATACCTGTCTCTGTTTCCAGTGTTTATTGCTATTAATTGAGGCATTTAAGACCGAACGGCCTTGATAAATCCCTTACCACTGCAGATATTTTACATAATTCAACGTTATCAGAGCAAGGGCAAAGATTCTCTCGAAGCCTGGCAAACTCAATAACCAGTGTACATATGCTTATTGACGTACAGGAACAGGTCCTTGACATAGAGCTATCTTTATTCACTGAGAGGTGAATGAGACCAGAGGGGGGGCCAAATCTGTGTTCTTTAAACATAACACTTTCTGAGTTGTATTCACTGAATTATTTTAATTTTTCTTTTTTGAAATGGAATCTCACTCTGTCACCCAGGCTGGAGTGCAGTGGCATGCTTCCAGCTCACTGCAACCTCCACCTCCTGGGTTCAAGTGATTCTGGTGCCTCAGCCTCCCCAGTAGCTGGGAATACAGGTGCCTGCCACCATGCCCAGCTAACTTCTGTATTTTTAGTAGAGATGTGCTTTCACCACGTTGGCCAGGCCGGTCTCAAACTCCAAACATCAGGTTGTTTATCCGCCTCAGCTTTCCAAAATGCTAGGGTAACATGTGTGAGCCACAACACCCAGCCCAATTATTTTTCTATTAAAAGTTTTAACATTTTCAGAACACAAAGGAAGATACTTTTTACATAGCTTAGTCATGATAGTTAAGGGGATCAGTAGTAATTGTGCCACCCCAATTTGGATCCCAGAGGTGAGTCAGGGAGCAGACCAGATGGAGGGTGGTGGGCCAAAGAAAATTGTAAAGGCTGTTTTTTTCTTTCATGTTTTGACCTTATTTTACTTTTTTTTTTTTTGAGACAGAGTCTCCCTCTATTGCCAGGCTGGATGCAGTGCTGCAATCCCGGCTGACTGCAACTTCAGTTTTCCTGTTTCAAAAATTCTCCTGCCTCATCATCCTGAGTAGCTGGGACTACAGGCACGCACCACTATGTCTGGCTAATTTTTTTTTACTTTTATTAGAGATGGAGTTTCACCATGTTGGCCAGAATGATCTCGATCTCTTCCCCTCGTGATTTGCTCGTCTTGGTCTCACAAAGTGCTGGGATTACAGGCATGCTCCATCGTGCCCTGCAATTTTGCCCTTCTTACAGCTTCCTTTGAAGAACAGAAATTATTGTTTGCTGTACATTTGATCAGAAGAAAAAGGAAGTGAAGTCAGTGAAGTGTTTGATCCCATCCTGAATTATTTTTTTTCTCTTTCTCAGGGACAGGACTAGAACAAGTGAGCACAAAACTGAAGAGTGTGCCTAAAATCTCAGCAACCAAGATAATATTTTAACTCTGTTTTTGAAAAAAATAAAAATTGACACCTACAAAAAATCCATGATGAACAAAATATCAAAATTATAAAGACAGGATGTCAGCAGTGAGTGTGGTGGCTCACAACCAGTAATCCCAGCACTTTCGTAATCTAAGGCAAAAGAATTGCTTAAAGCCAGTAATTGGAGCCCAGCCTCTGCAGCATAGCAAGTCTTCATCTCTAAATCAAAAAAATTGTCCCGGCATGGTGGTGCATATCTGTAGTCTAAACTACTGAGGAGGCTGAAGTGGGAGAATCACTGGAGCCTAGGAGTTGAAGGCTGCAGTCAGTTACTGCATTCTAGCCTGGGCAACAGAAAGACCCTGCTGAAAGGAAGAGAGAGAGCCGGTCACGGTGGCTCATGCCTGGAATCCCAACAATTTGGGAGGCTGAGGTGGTTAGTCTACTTGAGGTCAGGAGTTCAAGACCAGCCTGGCCAATATTGTAAAACCCCATTTCTACTAAAAATACAAAAATTAGCCATGTACACTGGCCCATGCCTGCAGTCTCAGCTACTCAGGAGGCTGAGGAAGGAGAATCTCTTGAATCCAGTAAGATGAGGTTGCAGTGAGCTGAGATCTGACCTGGGCAAGAGAGGAAGACTGTCTCCAAAATGAAAAAAGGAAGAGAAAGGAAAAAAGAGGAGAAGATGGGAGGGGAGGGGAGGGGAGGGGAGGGGAGGGGAGGGGAGAGGTGAGGAGAGGAAGGGAGAGGAGAAGAAATAAAGGAAATCAGTTAAACCATGTTAGATCTTGTGGCAAAAGGAAAAATCACTAATTTGAATTCCATCAGTAACAAGAGCCTTGTCTAGGCATATCCGGGCCTGAGCTTCAGCCCACTGTTTTCTCCCTTCATTCTCACTTCCCAAAATGGCCTCACTTCCTTACTCCACGTCTGTAGGTAGTTTGTCATTCTTGGCTTCCACTTGCCAAATTGTTCATGGAAAGAACACCAGATTCTAGACCTGGCTTTTTTTACATTTAAGCTCTCAATTCACCATAAATCATATTACTGGATTCCAAGGAGTAAGACGGGTCTAGTGAGGTTGATGATTTGAGGCTCTGGCCCCTGTCAACTGCTCTGCAAAAAAGTGCTATTAACACCATCTGGAAGTTGGCCATCCGATTGTACACTAAGAATTCACAAGGAATATCCACACCATCTCCTGATTCTGAACACTTTTGGAATCACTACAACACTCGCTATTTTTGTAAGTGTCCTCTCAATACCTCATGTCAACTTGGTTACCTGGTACTTGCCATGTAAGTGACTTTATAATAGTCTTCAGGCTGCATGCAGTGGCTCTTGCCTGTAATCCAGCACTTTGGGAGGCTGAGACAGAAAGATCATTGAGTCCAGGGTTTAAGACAAGCTTGGGCAACACAGCAAGATCTTATCTCTACCAAAAAAAAAAAAAAAAAAAAAAAATAGAAAAAATTAGCCAGGTTAAGAAAAATCATAAAAAAATAAAAGAAAGAAAGAAAGAAAAAAAATCAGTATAACAATTGCCAAATCTTCCATTTGAGGTAGTCTAGGACAAAGGTGGAGGCAGGGAACTTTGTTCTAGAATGAAAAAGATTTAAAAGAACTAATAAGTAAATGCAATTCATGGCTCTTCTTTGGATCCAGATTTCCATACATCTAGCAGGAAGCTCCTTTGGCCAAGAATGGCACATATTTGCTACCATTTAAGTGACTTATTTATTTATTTATTTTGAGACAGAGTTTTGCTCTTGTCACCCAGGCTAGAGTGCAATGGCATGATCTTGGCTCACTGCAACCTCCACCTCCCAGGTTCAAGTGAGTCTCCTGCCTCAGCCTCCTGAGTAGCTGAGAGTACAGGCATGTGCCACCACGCCAGACTAATTTTGTTTTTTTAGTAGAGACAGGGTTTCTCCATGTTAGTCAGGCTGGGTTAGCTGTCTTGCAAATTTTAATGAAGGAATTTGACTTGCTTAAAATCAGGTACCTGTGGGTGTCTTGAAAGCAAGCCAGGAAGTTTGGCTTCCTTACTTTTTTTTGAAAGTGTCAAACTTACAGAAAGATTGAAAGGGTATGTATCCTTATACTTTTTCCCTGGATTCATCCCATTGTTAATTTTTTGTCATATTCATGTTTTCTCTGTGTGTGTGTATATATATATATATTTATTTATTTATTTATTTATTTTTTTGAGATGAAGTCTTGCTGTGTCACCCAGGCTGGAGTGCAATGGCAAAATTTTGGCTCACTGCAACCTCCACCTCCAAGGTTTAAGCAATTCTCCTGCCCCAGTCTCCCGAGTAGATGGGATTATATGCATGCCCACCATGCCTGGTTAATTTTATATTTTTAGTAGAGACGGGGTTTCTGTATGTTAGTCAGGCTGGTCTCAAACTCTTGACCTCAGGTGATCTGCCCGCCTTGTCCTCCCAAAGTGCTGAGATTAAATATGTGAACCACCATGACTGGCTATACATTTTTTAAATTGTTGAAACTTCTGAAAGCTTCAGACTTCCAGATGGCTTCTCCCTGTGCATCAATATGTATCTACTAACAACGATGGCATTTTACTTCTTACTATAATTTTATTGTGCCCAATTTATCACTGGTGCAACATTATGTGATATAGAGTCCATACCAAGATTCTCACGTTTATTTGTTCCCAATGCCTTTTTTTTTCTTTTGAGATAAAGTTTTGCTCTGTTGCCCAGGGTATAGTGCTGTGCTGCAATCTCGGCTGACTGAAACCTCTGCCCTTCAAGGTCCAGAGAACTGATTCTCTTGCCTCAGTCTCCCAAACAGCTGGGATTACAAGTTCATGCCGCCTTATCCAGCTATTTTTTTTATTTTTAGTAAAGATGGGGTTTCACCATGTTGGCTATGCTGGTCTTGAGCTTCTGGCCTAAAGGAAGCCATGTTCCTTGGCCCCCCCAAAGTGTTGGGATTACAGGTGTGAATCACCATACCTGGATTACTTCCAGCATTTTATTTTTTTAATTTCAAGATCTCAGATCCTGTGAGGTATCACACATTGTATTTGTCATGTTTCTTTTCTCTCCTTAAATCTAGAAATCTTTTTTTTTATGCTTGGTTTTTTGACATTGGCATTTTTGAAGAACACATACCAGTTGTCTTGTAGGAATGCTCCACAATCTGAGTTAGAGTAATTTTTTCAGGGTCAGCCTGAAAAATCAGTATTTTTGGAAAGAATATTATATAGGCAATGCTATATACTTGCCATTTTATCCTGTCAGGTAGTATGCAAATTTGTCTCACTTTATTTTTTTTTAATATGTAATGTATGGAGTGAATCTCTGCAATATGAGTATCTTGTTTTTCCAGAACTTCCAACCAGTGATTTTATCATTGATTGATGATTCTTGTGTGAATGGTAAATACGTTAGTGATTTTGGAATCAGATTTGTAACGTGATGTTTTTTCTAACTCATAGGAAAAGTTTTTTTATCTTGGACCTGAGGGTGCTTTCTGGAAGAAAACATGACTTTATTTCATTAAGTGGGAAGAGCAGCAGCCCAGCTAATATGTTGAAATATACAATAGTCTGCAGTCTGTGAAGTATTCATGGCCGTAGACTCTGAAGCTAAAAAGCTGAGGGCATAACAAGTTTCTAGAAGTTGCCATCAACATGTCAAATCAGTAAAACTGAAAGCTGGTCAGATGTCAAGGTCTCAGAAAAAAATATCTACTGTTTACTGGGTCTTAAGCTATAGAGAACTAGGCCTTGCTAGAAGAATTATTTTACCTATCATCTTCGTTTAGGGGTCAATTGAATTCGTGAGAGGCCTGGATGTCCTCCGAGTGGTGGCTAGCTGTCCCATCTGTCTGGACTACTTGAAAGACCCAGTGACCATCAGTTGTGGGCATAACTTCTGTGTCTCCTGCATCATTATATCCTGGAAAGATTTAGATGATAGTTTCCCTGCCCTCTTTGCCACTTTTGTTGTCCAGAAAGGAAATTGACAAGCACTCCTCAGCTGGGTCTTTGATTGGAATTGCTAAGCAACTCCAGATAAGAAGCAAGAGAAAGAGGCAAGAAGAGAAGCATGTATGTAAGAAGCATGAACAGGTTTTGCCCTTTTTCTGTCAGGAAGACCTAGAGCTTTTATGTCCAAGGTGCAGTTTCTCCACTGATCGCCAGCTTCACTGTGTTTGGCCCATAAAGAAGGCTGCCTCCTATCACAGGAAAAAATTGGAGCAATACAATGCACCATGGAAGGAGGGAGTGGAATTAACTGAAAAAATACTAACTATACAAACCAGAAAATTGTTAGAACTGAAGAAAAAGGTAAAACATAGGGAAGAAGAAGTCAAGTCCAAATTTGAGAAACTTAGGTTATTTCTTCAAAATGAGCAAGAGACTCTTTTTGGGCAATTACAAGCTGAAGAGATGGATATTTTTGCACAACTAAATGAAAACGTAAAAAAATTCTCAGATCATACCTCCTCATTAAAATATCTACTAAAGGACATACAGAGCATATATGTGAAGTCAGGACTGGAATTACTGGCAAGTGTTAAGGACATCTATCACAGATACAAAAATTTTAAATTTCCTGAACATTTTTCATTCAGTTAAAAGAATATGGTTACCATCTGCCTCTATAATATTCCCTAAACAAAATTATCAAGTAATTTCAAGTAAATTTAATTCTAGATCCTGAAACAGTACATCATAAACTTATATGCTCATCAGATAGAAAAACTGTGCAATATGGAAATACAGTGCAAAACTTACCTACAAACCCAAGATTTTATCACCTCCCAGCTGTTGTGGGTTCTAAGGGCTATAGTAGTGGCCAGCAGTACTGGGAAGTAGAAGTGAAAGACAAGCCTGAATGGATCCTTGTGTCTGTAATGACTCTCTTCCCAGAAGGAGGAAGCATCCACCAACATCAGTACTGAATGGATTGTGGGGAATTCGGCGATCTGGATACAATATAATTGTATCGGTCAGGATAATTATATTGTATTGGGTCATGAGGAAATTAATATGCTGCCAAAAGTAAGACCTAGTAAGATTGGCATTTTTTTAGAATTCAAAATGAATGAGGTTTCCTTTTATAATTTGAATGATAGATATCTACTCTATACTCTTAATGATGATTTTACAGGATGACTTTGGCCTTATTTTTATACTGAAATAGATTCAAAACTACTTACAATTTCTAATGTAACAAATTCTAAATGAATAACTATTAGAAGACTACCATTTTCTCCTACCTACTAGACATAATTGAGCCAGTGAATCTAGTTTTGATAAAACTGTTTCCTGTAGTTAATAGTTACACCATTTTCAATATGTTTTGTTTTCATTTCAAATTTTAAAGCTTGCATGTAAGACAGCTTGATTCTTGCATCCTCTCAATTGTTTCTTCCTTGTATTTGCTCTTTTCTATTCCTACCTGGGGAGACTTGGCTTTCTGTTCAAGGATCTTTTTGTGGTCTCTGCCTAGTTTTAGCCTAAGGATAACTACCTTGCTCTGTGAATGCCTACATGAACAGTTGTGCCATTAGCCTTTCCCACTGCACCCGTTTAGCATAGATGACATATTTCTTCCTGTAAACCTGGACTACTTTGCCAAGTTGCTGACCTTCATAGTGTCCTCATACAACCTGAACTTTATCACTCTTTTGGATGGACATGGATCGAACCTTGTACTTCTGTCTCAGCTCTTTAAAAAGAGAAGAAGACATAATCTTTCTGTATATGTGGGAAGGTGCATTGAAATGCCTTTTGCGGTTCTTGCTTCAGTCAGAAGTCAAAAAAGGAATGAACTTTCATTTCCTATGGCCGTTCTTGCTTCAGTGATGGCTGCAAAATGAAATGGCTTCATGTTCTTATTCTTAATTCTTTCCCAAACTGTCCCCTGCAGTTTTCTAATTTCCTGAATTCATTAGCTTTCTAATAAAGTAGATGAGAAATAAAGATTTTGAGAGCTTTGAATCTGAAAATTTATTTGGTCTATGCTGATATTTAACCAGAAGTTTTTAGGGCCTGAAATTATAATTTTAAAACATCTTACTCTTACATATTTTTATCCTTTTAAATTGGGAAATATATTGTTATAATATCTACAATGTATTATAAAATGTATCAGCATAAACAAATGTGCTAGAAGCATGAGATTTAATCTACAATACACAAATTTGTTCATGAACTCACACTCAAGGTCAGCTGGCATTATGATGGATAAATTTAAGCTCCAGGTACTATTGCAATGCTTCAGTCATCTTTATTATTTTGAGATGGAGTTCAGCTCTGTCATTCAGGCTGGAGTGCAGTGACATGACCTTTTCTAACTGCAGCCTCTCTCTCCTGGGTTCAAGCAATTCTCTCACATCAGCCTCCTGACTAGCTGAAATTACAGATGTGTGCCACCATGCCCAGTCAATTTTTGTATTTTTAATAGAGATGGGGTTTTGCCATGTTGGTCAGGCTCATCTTGACCTCCTTACCTGAAGTGATCCACCTGCCTCAGCCTCCCAAAGTATTGAAATTACAGGCCTGAGCCACTGCACCTGGCCAGTTATTTTAGTCTTACACCAATCCAGAGAAAATTGCACATCTCTTGGTTAAATTATAATAATGAATTATAGGAGACATCAAAAATAGAATGACATTGGTGAAATAAGTGTTATTAGAGATACATGGATTGACTGAAATATTTGAAGATCTGTAAACTCAATGGCTCCCTTGTACAAGAAAAATATCATAATTTAAAGACAGAATCATTTCTGTATCTGATAAGTTTCATAAATGAAAAATAGAGTTGTGTATTTCCAGCATCCCTACTCTGCACTCCCCTTGCCAGTTTCTGGCTACTTAATATTCCATCACCAACCTTATGTACCAAGAAATCATCACTCCCCTCTTCCTACACAGTCAGTCTTCTTCCTAATTGTCCTACCTCTTATTCATTGCCGAAACTAAGGCACTGAGATGGTGGAAAGGGCAGGCTTTTGAAATTCCATTCTAGGTTGGGCTGTTTGTGGCCATTATCAATTTATTGCCTCTATTTTTATCTTTTCAAAGAATCAGCTTTTGTTCTGTTGATTTTCTGCCTTGTTTCCAATTTTAGTTTTATTGATTTCTGCTCTAATTTTTGTCCTGCATGTTTCATAATTAAAAGCTTTACATTTGCTTTTTTTCACTCTAGTTTATTAAGGTAAATAATTATTTACTGATTTTACATTTTTTATAATGTATGTTATAAATTTTATGCTATAAATTTCCCTGTGAACACTGCTTTAGCTATGCTACACAAACATTGAAATATTGAATTTTAATTTTGCTCAAAATATTTAATATCCCTGAGACTTACTCTTTGACCCAAGGGTTATTTAGAAGTGTACTAATTTTCATCAGGTGCAGTGGCTCACACCTGTAATCTCAACACTTTGGGAGGCCAAGGAAGGTGGATCATCTGAGGTTGGAAGTTTTAAGCCAGCCTGACCAACATGGAGAAATTCTATTTATATTAAAAATACAAAATTATCTGGGCATGGTGGCTCATGCCTGTAATCCCAGCTTCTCAGGAGATTGAGGCAGGAAAATCACTGGAACCCAGGAGGCGGAGGTTGCAGTAAGCTGGTATCATGCCACTGAACTCCAGCTTGGGCAACAAGAGTGTAACTCTGTCTCAAAAAAAAAAAAAAAAAGTGTTCTAATTTTCACATTTTTATGGATTTATCAGATAGTTTTTATAATATCAGTTTTAATTTTGTATGGTCTGATAGTGTAATTTGTGTGATTTCTATTCTTTAAAAGTGTAAAGTCATGTTTCATAGCCCATCATGTGGTTTAATCTTGATGAGTGTCCCACAGAAACTTGAAAAGAATGCTTATTTTGACTTCTCTGTTGTTTTTATTGGAGACAAGATCTCACTAATGTTGCCCAGGTTGGTCTCCAACTCCTGGCCCCAACCTGTCAGCCCACCTCGGACTTCAAAAGTGCTGGGATTAAGACAGGGTCTGAGTATATTGTCTAGGCTGGTATTCAATAGCTATTCACAGGCACATTCATAGCCAAACTCCTGGGCTCAGCCTTCGGAAAAGCTGGGACTACAGGTGCACATTACTATGGCTGGCTTCTCTGAGTTTAATCAAGCATGTTTTATAATTACTTTTTAATCTCTCCTATTAACATTTTTTTTTTTTAGATGGAGTTTTTGTCACCAGGCTAAAGTGCAGTGGCCTGATGTCACCTCATTGCAACTTCTGCCTCCCGGTTTTAAGCGATTCTCCTGCCTCAGCCTCATTAGTAGCAGGGACTACAGCCACACACCACCACACTCAGCTAATTTTTGTATTTTTAATAGAGACTGGGTTTCACCATGTTGGTCAGGATGGTCTTGATCTCTTGACCTTGTGATCTGCCCATTTCAGCCTCCCAAAGTGCTGGTACAGAGCCTGGCCTTCTTATTTTATGCATCTTTAAAAACATATTTAATGGTTCTCCCAAGGGTTTATAATACATATTTTAAAATAATTTGAGGCCTCCTTTAAATGAAATTGTACTGTTTCCCTTTCAATATAAGAACCTTGTAACAGTATATTTCCAATTCTCACTGATCATTTGTGGCCTTGGAGTCTTACACTACTTTTACATATGCTGGAAAAACAGCATATATCATTTATTATTGTTTTAAACTGCTAGTTATCTTTTAGAACAATTACCTTTATTTTTATGTACTTTATTTCTTGGTGTAAACACAAGTTTCTGACATATATTTCTTTGACATGAAGTACTTTTATTAACATTCCTTTGAGTGTATACTTGATAGAAATGAATTTTCTCCATTTTATTTTATCTAAGTATTTCTTCATTGCTTTTGATAAATATGCTAATTGGTTATAGAACTGTGAGTTGGCAGGGGTTATTTTATTTACAGTAACCACTGACTCTTTGGTTTCACATTTTCTGATGAGAGGTGTGTTGTAATTCTTATCCTCCCTCCTTTGTCAGTAGTCATGCACTGCATAACAGTGTTTCAGCCACTGGCCACATACATGACAGTGGTGCTATATGATTATAAAACTATTTTCATGGAACTTCTTCTATGCTTAGATATGCTTAGATACACAGACATTTGCCACTGTGTTAACGGTGTCTGTAATATTCAGTACAGTACCTTGTGTACAGGTTCATAGCCTAGGAGCATTAGGCTATGCCATAGAGCTTACAGGCATAGTAAGCTACACGATTGCAATCTAGGTTTGTGTAAGCATACTCCATGATGTTCACAGAATGATGGAATCATCCCATGGTGCACTTCTCAAAACATAATCCCATAGTTAATGCATGCATGGCAGTAATACATTTCTTTACTTGGGCTGCCTTCAAAATTGTGTTTCTGATCTTAATTTTCAGCAGTTTGAATTTGGTTGATACACCCATATTTGGAGATGTGCTGTCACTTTTTTTCTTGTTTTGGGTTTCTTTGTTCTTTTTTGGTGTGTGTCTTTTGATATTCATCATGCTTGGTGTGCTCTGGGCTTCTTGGTTCTAGAGTTTGGGGGTCTTTAACTAAATTTTTGGCCATTAGTTTTTTTGAATATTTCTTCCATTTTTTTTTCTTTTTGTGATTGCAAGTATCCACAAATGACACTGTCTGATACTGTCCCACAGTTTTTAGATTCTCTGTTTTTTACTCTTTTCACTTTATGTTTCAGTTTGGGTAGTTTATGTGCCTTAGTGTTCACTGATTATTCCCTTAAGTGTGTCGAGTGTACTAATGAGCCCATTGAAGGTATCTTCACCTCTTTTTTATGATTTTTATTGCTACCATTATAACTTTATTTTATTTTATTTTATTTTTTGATGGAGTCTCACTTTGTCACCCAGGCTGGAGTGCAGTGTCACAATCTTGGCTCAATGCAACCTCTGCCTCCTGGGTTAATGCAATTCTGCTGCCTCAGCCTCCGGAGGAGCTGGAATTACAGGTGCCCACCACCACACCAGTCTAATTTTTTTTTTTCTACTTTTAGTAAAGACAGGATTTCACTATGTTGACCAGCCTGGTTTCAAACTCCTGACCTCAAGTGATCCACCTGTCTCAGCCTCCCAAAGTGGTGTGATTAGGGTCCTGAGCCACCACACCCAGCTTTTTCATTTGATTTTAGTTTCCAACTCTCTGATAAGATTATCTATCTCATTCTGCATATTGTCTTTATTTTCCACTAAAGCCTTTGACATATCAATTACAATTACTTTTCATTTTTTTGCCTGAGAATTCCTACATTTGTATTATAACTTAGTACAGTTCTGATTTTCATTTTGCCTCTTCAGAGTGTGGTTTATTTTTCTTTTACATTGTTTCCTTTTACAAATACCTTTGCCTCATATGCTTTTTTTGTTTGTTTTTCTTTTTGGTAAAAATCAGACATGCATAGAAAAATATGTATTGAGGTAAATATTTTTATACTTGTAACTTACCTTAGTGTTGGAGGGAATACCCTAACAAAGTATCATAAACTGGGTGGTTTACATAACAGAAAATTTATTGTCTCACAGTTCTGGAGTCTGAGTCCAAAATACGGGTGTTGGCAGGAATGTTCTGTTCTGAGTGCTGTGACAAATTTCTTCCATGGCTCCAGGTTCTGGTGAGTTGCTGCCAATCTATGGCTTTCCCTGGCTAGCAGACACATCACTCCAATGTCATTTCCCTGTGTTTCTGCACATAACCATTGTCAGTGCATATTTTTATGTCAAAATTTCATCTTTTCATAAGGACAGCAGTCATATTGGATCAAATCAGACCCTATAACCTCATTTTAACTGATTACATTTTTTTTTTTTTGAGATAGAATTTTCACTCTTGTCATCCAGGCTAGAGTTCAGTGGCACTATCTCAGCTCACTGTAACCTTCACCTCCCAGGTTCAAGAGATTCTCCTGCCTCAGCCTGTAGAGTAGCTGGGATTATAGGTGCCCATCACCACAGCCAGCTAATTTTTGTATTTCTTCTATAGATGGGGTTTCACCATCTTGGCCAGGCTGTTCTTGAACTCCTGACCTTAAATAATCCACCCATCTTGGCCTTTCAAAATGTTTGAATTACAGGCAGGAGCCACCACACCAGGCCTTAATCCGTTGCCTTTGTAAATACCTAATTTCCAAAGGAGGTCACGTCTGAAGTACTGGGTACTATCTATCTTACTGGACGTAAGATAGAAGAGAAAAGATAATTCTTAGGGTAGTGGAAACATGAAAGACCTCGGATGACAGCTGTGCATCATATCACCAAACTTCAGCTCATGCTAAGAGGATAGAGGGCTTCAGGGGAGGGTACTACAAAGAAAATGAATAGATTCAACAAATTACATGTTGAGTTTACTTTTATTGAGAGGAGTTTTAGAGATTAGCAGATATGGGGCTGATAAACACAAATGCAGCAAGTAAGAAATCAGGCAATTTTAATCACAGTAAAACAAAATTTGTGTATCATAGAAATTATAATTATAGTACCTAACTGGCTCAGCTGTGAACAATTATATAGTTGTATAAACATATTAATTAAATTACATTAATATATTTGGATATTTGTGGAAATAACAGAGTATGTACCTGGGTGGTGTGATAGACCTAAATTCTCAGTTGACCTAATACAATGTTAATGTGACATGTCTAACATCAAACATATTATAGTCATGAAGAAATAGCAAGGTCACTATAATAAATCATACCTCTGTTTACCAGGAATTTGGCAAAGGATGGCCTGACCCAGGATATTTTTGTTTTTATATAAGCCTGTTTTGTTGCTGGACTGAGCTAATAACTACATAATTTTGATAAAATTCATAATGTGCAAAGCATTAAAATGTTGACTAAGTACACTTTCATCTTAGAATATCAAATATACTTTACAATTTATTCCCATTACATCTCTAAAGAGAAAGCCTGTTTAATATTTTATTAATAGTTGCTAAAATAGTGAAATAAAAAGACTTTTTTTGCTTATAAGTGGTAAAGATAGAATTCAGAATTGTAGAGCTTCTCTCCTAAAAATAGAAAATTGTTTTTAAATTTTTCATCCTTCATAATCTATTACTATACTAATTATATGTGGTTATAAATCACACCCAGTGGGAAACACAGCCTAAACAGTTTCATAAAAATATCACTTGAAGAAAAGGTATGAGACCTGGCATTCAAGTTATAAGATTAAACCTCAGCCACTTCATTGTCCAGAAAAATCCTAATATTACTGTGTTTACTTTTAGCAGAATAACTCTCGCCACTCTACCCACTGTAATGACTTCAGTAAAATTATTACATTTCTGTAGCTGAATACTAAAGAATGAATCCTATCGTGATAGCGTCTTTTTCCATCTCCTGGGAAGACAGTTCTTACAAACAACACCGTTAAGTCTATCCCGTTTGATTTTGTTCTCTTTCTCTTCCTTCCAGGAATACCAGCATTAATCATTTTTGGATCATGAGTCTTTGGGGTGTCTTTCCAAATCTCACTGTATTCTATCTTCAGAGATACAAGATTATGACTTGCTGTTTCAGGATCTAAAGTCAGATCTATTTAAAATGAATTAAGAATGTTTTGTCAACCATAATGTTGTGGCAGAAGTCTGGAATTACCATTCCTTAGTTAAAATGGAAAAACTCATTAAATTTTTATTTATTTATTATCTTGTAATCTTTGACGGAATGTTGCTCTGTCACCCAGGCTAGATTGTAGTGGCAAGATCTTGGCTCAGTGCAAACTCCACCTCCCAGGTTCCAGCGATTCTCCTGCCTCAGCTTCCTGAGTAGCTGAGATTACAGGCACCCACCACAGCACTGAGCTAATTTTTGTATTTTTAGTAGAGACAGGGTTTTACCATGTTGGCCAGGCTGGTCTGGAGCTCCTGACTTCATGATTTACTTGCCAGCCTCCCAAAGTACTGGGATTACAGGCTTGAGCCACCACACCTTATCTGTTATTGATCGGTAGGCTGAGGTGGGCAGATTACATGACCTCTGGAGTTTGAGAACAGCTACGCCAACATGGTGAAACTCCATCTCTACTAAATAATTCAAAAACTAGTGGGGCATGGTGGCCCACCACTGTAGTCTCAGCTACTCCAGAGGCTGAGGTGGGAGAATGACTTGAACCTGTGGACCTGAGGTTGAAACCCCAGCCTAGATGAGAGAAGGAGACCATGTCTCAGAAAAGATTAAATAAACAGAAGTTTCCTTTCAAAAGGCTAATCAGTTTTCAGCATATCAATGCTTCATTCCAGGCAAGCTAATTTCACTTAGGTTTTTTTTTTTAATATACTTAAATTTAATCATCCATAAAAGCTGTGATTTAATCTGACAGTAAAACACAAGAAGCAATATTAGAGTTGGTTTAGTATATTATATATTTTAGCTTTGAAAGCCATAGAAATCAGCTATTCCAGTTTTTTTTTCTTCTATAGGAAAATAGACCCATTTTTCCTAAGCATTATGGACAAACAATTTTAATTAGAATATAATGTCAAAGGGTATTCCATATTTTTTTAAATATAAAATGAAGTCAATGACTCAAGAATGTTATCTGCTGCAATGAGGTTGAGGGGATCTTTCATAATATCATTACAGATATAAAGTATAATGGTTCAACTTTTTAGTGCTTGATAGGGAGGAATCATGATTAAAAGGTCAATATGAAATCATTTGATTATAGCAGCAATATCTAACATTTGAAATGCATCCATGCTTTTTTGTATAATCATGTGAGAATCAAGTGTATTTTCACACCTGTTATAATTGCTGTTGCAAAGGGAAATACTATTGTCTTATTTTTTAAGAGATATACATACACAGAGCAATTTTTTTTCTCCAGGGAACTTGTGCAAAGCAACATAAGATCTAAATTCTTCACATAATATATAGTGTGAGAAGCATCTTCAGATTTATTTTTTGAAGTCTGAAATGCTGGCACTTTCCAATCAGACAACAGTTCTTCATTCCTGTAATCTGGCTCAGAGCTGCTGTTGACTACAGGCTTAGAGCAGCAGACATGATTTCTTTTTAGGATTCTTCTTTTCCACTAGCATTTTTCTATTTATCTGTCTTATCAGGTCACAAAGAAATAACACTGATCTTTGACTTTGCAGAAGTTTCTACAAAGGCGCAGTTACACTATTGTCTTGCCAAATTCCGGCGCTGTTCTTTGCCAACTACTCGCTCATCTTCCAGGTCACATTTATTGCCATCCAAAATCACTGGAACATCTTCTGTGCCCTTAACACATAAAATATGTTCCCTCAGGTCCTGTAAGTCATTAAATGTGGATTGAGCTATAACAGAATATACTAGTGTTAAACCTTGTCCATTCTTCATATACAAATTCCTCATCGCTGTAAATTGCTCTGTCCCTGCAGTATCCAGAATTTCTAGAATACACTGTTGTTAATCCACTGCAACTTGCTTTCTTTAGGAAATTTCTATCATTGGGTAATATTTAAAAAAAAAAAAAAAAAAATTCCCTGAACAAAAGAAACTGTCAGAGCAGACTTCCCAATACTTCCTGAACTAAAGGACCACTAGGTTGTACTCACACAGGATGTGGTCTGTTTAAATACTGATGATCTCTTCTCTTTTCTTTTTTTTTTAGTCAAAGTTTCGCTCTTGTTACCCATGCTGGAGTGCAATGGCGCGATCTCGGCTCACCGCAACCTCCGCCTCCTGGATTCAGGCAATTCTCCTGCCTCAGCCTCCTCCCTCCTCTTTTCTTTGAGCCGCTGCTCCGCTTTCAATCCATCTCAGGGCTCTCATATCCTGACTCTTTTTTCTCTTCTCCCTTGCAATTGTCCCTAATCTTAATGGACTTTCCTTCCCTCTACCAATCCTCTCTCCTTTCCTGTCACCACACTTTTTAATCTCATAAATCTTCAAGATTAGTTTAGGGAGTGAGGGAAGAGGAAGGCCAGGCATTGTGGTTCTGTCTGGGTGCGTGTCCTGTGTGTGGATCTCAGGCCTGCTCTCAGATGATCTGAGTCATCTGGGGCTGGTTCCATAATTCCCCCGTAAATCCTTTCATGGTCACATGAAAACAAGAAAAATCAACCTCAATTTCTCTTTAAGGTTTGTGTAAAGATAAACACCAACAGCCCAGCCCGCTGCCCTAGCCTCCTCAGGCCACCCCTGGGCCACAGTCTGGACACCCAGGGCGGAGCGTCCAGGAGGAAGCGCGCCCGGCCGCGGCCCGGGAACTTCCCAGACGACGAGTCCGGAGTGCGGGCCGCGTGGTCAGCTCGCGCCGGTTTCGCAGGTGTGCGGGGCTTGTGCCCAGCCCAGGCTGTCTCACATTTCCGCCCCTCCCGGAGGCCCCGGGCCGCGCTCCTCTTCTGGCTCCGGCCCCGCCGCGCCCCTCCCCGCCCCTGGGGCTGCCGGGGAAGTTGGGACGAGTCGGGCCGGAGAGGAGCCATGGCCTTGGCCCGGCTGGGCTCGTGGCTCGGGAAGGTGCCGTGGCTCGCGCCGGTGTCGCTCTTTGTCGCGGCCCTGGTCACGGTGGGCCTGTACTTGGCTCAGTGGGCGCTGGCCAGGGCGCGACCCCAGCCGTGGCGGCGGGCGCTGGAGCCTGGCGAGGGGCTGCCCCCTGGGTCCAACTCTCTGCTCTTCTGGATCCTGACGCTGAGTAGCTGGAGGAGCCAGAGGTAGGCGGCCTGGGTGGGGGTTGACCCCCCTGAACAAGGAGGCCGAGAGAAAAGGGGGCCCGCCTTTCCTGTCCGAGGAGGACCCGCGGCAGCAGCCCCTGGAGCTGGCGGTGGAGGCGGTCTCCAGTGTGCTCAGCTGGAGTTCCACCTGAAAGAGGAGAGAGAACCTCCAGATTAACTGGTCCTTCATGAGTGTGCTGGAAATGGCCAGTCCAAAGCACTGGGGGAGGACCAGATGGCCGAGACATGCACGCTGTCAGACACTCTGAAGGAGCTCTTGAAGGATTTGGTTGGTTCTGCCTCTCCATCAGTACTTCTGATCACCAAGCCCACGAATGTACAGGAAGCTCAGAACTTAGAGTGTGCTCCCTCTACTGCTCTGGAGTCCTGTCTTCCCAAACCTCTGGGGCTCACGAGCTAAAGTTGCTGGTGAGGAGTATCCGCGCCTTGCTGCTCAGCGAGCCCGATGCCGCAGGCCACATTAACACAGTGTGCATCATGCAGCTGAACGATCCTCTTCAAAGATTCTCCAGCACCCTGAAGAAAAACACTACAGACCTCACGTGGAAAGAGGAATTCACCTTCCAGTTGAATGCCAAGTCGAAGGAGTTACACCTGCAGATTTCAGAGGCTGGGCGATCCTCAGAAGGTCTGCTGGCGATGGCGACAGTTTCTTTGGATTTATTTAAGAAGCAGCCATCTGGACCACAGAGTTTCATGCTGACCAGCGGGTCTGCCTGCGACTGCTCGGTGCTGGGATCCATCACGTGAGAGTTTTCTTTTTTTTTTTTTAATTTTTTATTGGATTTTAGGTTTTGGGGTACATGAGCAGAGCATACAAGACAGTTGCGTAGGTACACATATGGCAGTGTGCTTTGCTTTCCTTCTCCCCTTCACCCACATTTGGCATTTCTCCCCAGGCTATCCCTCCCCCCTCCCCCTCCCACTGGCCCTCCCCTTTTCCCCCCAATAGACCCCAGTGTTTAGTACTCCCCTTTCTGTGTCCATGTGTTCTCATTTTTCATCACCCGCCTGTAAGTGAGAATATGCGGTGTTTCATTTTCTGTTCTTATGTCAGTTTGCTGAGGATGATGTTCTCCAGATTCATCCATGTCCCTACAAACGACACAAACTCATCATTTCTGATTGCTGCATAATATTCCATGGTGTATATGTGCCACATTTTTCCAATCCAGTCTATTATCAATGAGCATTTGGGTTGATTCCAGGTCTTTGCTATTGTAAACAGTGCTGCAATGAACATTCGTGTACATGTGTCCTTATAGTAGAACAATTTATAGTCTTTTGGATATATACCCAGTAATGGGATTGCTGGGTCAAATGGAATTTCTATTTCTAAGGCCTTGAGGAATCGTCACACTGTCTTCCACAATGGTTGAACTAATTTACACTCCCACCAACAGTGTAAAAGTGTTCCTTTTTCTCCACATCCTCTCCAGCATCTGTTGTCTCCAGATTTTTTAATGATCGCCATTCTAACTGGCGTGAGATGGTATCTCAATGTGGTTTTGATTTGCATCTCTCTGATGACCAGTGACGATGAGCATTTTTTCATATGATTGTTGGCCTCATATATGTCTTCTTTCGTAAAGTATCTATTCATATCCTTTGCCCACTTTTGAATGGGCTTGTTTTTTTCCTGTAAATCTGTTTGAGTTCTTTGTAAATTCTGGATATCAGCCCTTTGTCAGATGGGTAAACTGCAAAAATTTTTTCCCATTCTGTTGGTTGCCGATTCACTCTAGTGACTGTTTCTTTTGCTGT